AAGAACTTCATTTTTAGGGGTCGACTTTCTCTGTAAATATCAAACTCCTCATAGACTTATAGACCTGTGTATACTCACAAACGCATTAGTCCCTTAACCTATAATTCTTCAATACACCAAAATCACTAAGGGGCACTAGATGCACTTACACTCCGCTCCGCTGCGGAGCTACGGAGCGGAGAGTTTTCGAACGGCCCTTTATTGACAAGAGTAAGGGAAACTCATGTGTAAAATCGGCGTAGGACTGTTGCGTTCCATGTAGCCTCCGTCTCTTCGTTTTGAGGATGTCGTACAGTCAGAAAGTGTTGTCGCTCAGCACTTGGGAGATTATGAATGGTCCTTCCCAAGGCGGAGTGAGCTTGTGGGATTTCTTTTGTCGCAGACGGAGTACTGGGTCTCTGACTACAAAAGTTCATCCACGCACATGCCGACTGTGATACCTTCGCAACATCTATTGATAAATAGCAGAGCAAGCTCTCGGTCTTCCTCTAGAAGATCAAGCCCATCTTAGCGAGCTTCCTCTGCTTCGGCTTCTGTGTATGCCAACACTTGGGATGAATCATGGAGCACATTAGCCGGGATAATTTCTTCCGCTCCATATACCATGAAAAAGGTGTGAACTGAGTGGATATATTTGGGGTCGTCTGCAGGCTCCATTGCACCGAGGGGAGTTCTTTGACCCATGCTCCGAATACTGTTGGGAAACGTAGCATGCAATTTCAAAAAAATTCCTACGCTCATGCAAGATCTATCTAGGAGATGCATAGCAACGAGAGAGGGAGAGTGTGTCCATGTACCCTCGTAGACCAAAAGCGGAAGCGTTTGCTTAACGCGGTTGATGTAGTCGAACATCTTCTCCTTCTGGCCGATTGAGTACCGAACATACGACACCTCCGAGTTCTGCACATGTTCAGCGCGATGATATCCCTCGAGCTCTTGATCCAGCAGAGGGTTGAAGGAGTAGATGAGTTCCGTCAGCACGATAGTGTGGTGACGGTGATGTGATCCGCGCAAGGCTTCGCTTAAGCACCGTGAGAATATGACCGAAGGCGTAAACTGTGAAGGGGGGCGCCGCACACGGCTAGAAACAATTGATGTGTATTCTAGCCCCCCCCGTATATAAAGGAGGGAGGGAGAGGAGGCCGGTCCTAGGCGCGCCCCAAGTGGGAGGAGTCCCACTTGGGCTCCTAGTAGGATTCACCCCCTTCCTTTTATCAGAGGGGGAAAGGGGGAAGGAGTGGGAGAAGGAGAAGGAAAGGGGGGCGCCGTCTCCTCCCCTAGTCCAATTCGTACTCCT